TGTGAATCTATTACGTATTCTGTTTTGTACGGTGAAGTGCAGTAAGTCTGTTTAGGAAGAGAAACTATATTTTCTATTCCATGTGTATGAAGCAGCTGTACCTTACTGTATGTGCTTATGTTGATTTATGGCTTACTATGGATATAAGCACATTCTTTTTCTTCATCAAGAAAATTAACTGTAAACATTTGAGGATGGATTTTCTGGAGGGAAGAGAGTCGGATGAGCTGTTTTGTTTAAATAGGCGGAGAAGAAAAAGTACATTTCCATGTTAAAACAACCAAACCGGCCACAATATCATCACTATTGTAAGGATATTTTCAGTGCCTTTGTTCGACGTATAATCTATTGTAAAACCTGCTTTTAATGTTCCAATCAAAAAGCATTTTTATTTAATCTGAATTTACAATGTTTTTGTCTCTGCCACTTTTTAGGTACTACCCCAAACATCACGTGTACAGATAAATAAACAAAATCAGGGTTAAACTGTGTGTTCAGCTGTGATTTTTAAGTGCACACTATCGTGTTCATAGTGGCATTACTAACATGCTAGTGGTACTGTTGGTATCATATCATCTTTAACAGGTTGGCGGCGAAGTAAAAAAAAAAAAGTTTACAGGTCTTTATGTAGTCCCATGAAAAACTAAGCACATCCAATGAGTTTATAGCTTGTAGAAGCTATAACTGGTTACACTTTATAATAACTACACACTATTAATCATTAGTAAAGTATTAGTTTATACTTTAAAATAATGAATTAAGTATTAAGTAATGCTTAACCATTCCTCAATAGTGTGTTAATATTATGAACTGCTGCCTAGTAACCTGGCATAATCATGATTTTTATCAGCCCCTCACATCACTGTGGAGGAGTTTTGACCCACTTATCTTGTGTTGCATCAGTTCATTGAGGTTTGGGGCATTTGCATATGCACAGCTCTCTCTGTCCCGCCATCATTTCACTCAAGTTGAGGTCCTGACTTTGACTGGGCCTTGCAATTTTTTTTCCTTTTCTGCGGTGCTTGTCGTCATTGTCCTGTTACCTGGCCAAGTTTCAGCCAAGATTTAGCTGTTGGACAGCTGTCCTCACAGCTGACTCTAGCATAGTTTGGTATGCAGAGGAGATCATAGTCAACTCAAGGTGCCCCGGTCCTGTGGCTGTAAAACAAGCCCAAATCATCATCCCTCCACCAGCGTGCCTGACAGTTATGATGTGTTTGTGCTGATATGCTGTGTTTGATTTTCACGAAACATGGCACTGTGCTTCTCCACTTTTGGCCTCATGGTTTTGTGGTTTGCAAAGTTAAAGAAGAAGAGGCATTCTCCTGCAACCCTCCCAAACTGACTTTTTTTACTGACTTGATTGTCATGAACTTTAACATTCAAGGTGTTAACGCCGGCCTGAAGAGTCTGAGATAAAGCTCTTGGGTTTGTTGCAGTTTCTCTGAACATTGCATGGTCTGACCTTGGGGCAAATTTGCTGAGACATCCACTCCTGGGAAGATTGTAGCATTGTGTTAATGCACACCTGAATGCTTCAGAGCAGCAAACTGTCAAAACTTCAGCTTTTATAGTGGTTCTCACTATAAAAGCTGAGGATCAGTTAATCAAGTGCATTTTAGGTACTATAGTTCAGGAGGTAGAGTTGGTCATCTACTATTTGCAAGTTAATTTCATACCTTTTTAAAGTAGTCTTATAGGGACAATCTTCTGTCAGAGATTTCTGTTGAGGTTTCTTTGAGTGCCACCTGTCTGTGTTCCCATTTAAGAAGTTTACACAGAGATTTAGTCTCCATGAGTTTACTTAACAAGCACGATCCTTGCTTATTTGTCATGTGGCCGCTGATGATCTGATTTTTAGAATTTGCATCAGAGACTTGCGACATGTTAGCAGACAGCTGTGATTGCACTGCTTGCTGCAGTTACACTGCCTTCTCTTCCTTCTCGTTGATTAGTCATTCTGACGTTGAACCTGTTGATTTTGTGATAATAAACATTCACAGTTTAGCAAAAAAAAAAAAAAGGGGGGGGGGGGGTGTGAAACAGCAGCAAACAAAATCAAAACATTACCAGATTTTTAAGGGACAACTGCATCATTGCTATGCTGGCAAGTAAAGCAAATTTATCAGCTATTTACAGCCACATGCAATCCTCTTCATGCAGCTTCTTTTTCAATGAAAGTTCAATGGTTCATTCAGATGTTTGTCTGACCTTCTCAGAGTCCTAAATGCCTCTTCTATTCAGCTGCATGAGACTGAATCACTGTCATCTTGAATAAACTATGAGCCACTTCAGCCTTGGAGGATCCACATTGTTTGACAAAGAAATAAATCAGCAGGAATCACACTGATGGCAGAGCTCTATAGATCAAAATGTTGAAAAGCTGCTGCACTCTCACTCACAGCGATACCACCTGGACAAATGAAGCAATTTTTAAGAATATATATATCAAGAGTCACCCGGCTGATTCAGTCTGTGAGCAAAGGAGAGGAATTGGTGATGCTAAATAAAGCTGCCCATATTTTCTTCCTCATTTCCAAAAGGCTATGTATTTTGTCAAATGTGTTGTAGCTGCTATTACTGCACAATACACCATATATGGAATATCTGCATCATGTGTGCTGGTGGATACACAGTGAGATACTCCACATTTAGCTTCGCATCCAAAATGAAAACTGCATTACTCATTTATAGGTGTAATCACACTGGTGTTGGTTCATTTTAATCTAATTAGGGGAGTTATCTTCAGATGTTAATATCTGATGTTGCTGTACAGCAGCTAAACCAACCCTTTGTAATTTCAGTCTAATTTCATTTTTCTTCAACCCATGCTCACAATTAACTCACAATTCACCATCCCAAATCCCCTTAGCTAAACCTTGCCCCATAAATCGATGGTCAAAGCTTTTGCTAGAACAAGACAAAAACGTGAGGGTGGTGCCACCGAGGCGAACGTGCATTGTATCCAATCCCATCGTTTTATAGAAGAATATTAACATGACCTTCATAGAAATGGCCTTGGGGCATGGGTAATCTAATTTAGCTTGAGTAATGTTGCCTGTCATTAGGAAATGAATACAGTTGGGTCCCTCTGAAGGCTGTGCAATCTAGTCTGGTATGGGTAAAATTAGCCACCAATTAAGGTTGTTTTTCATCCTGGAATAAAAACTCTAACAAGGAAGCTGGCTGCCATAATTGAAGTTAATCACTGCTGAGCTCAGACGTGGCAGTCCTGATTTCAGGAGAGGTGCTTTTGTACGTTTCGTTACTGTCATTGCACATTTCCAGCACTGACGGCTCACATGTGATACTCCCGGTAATGCTGATAACAATCCATCGAGTGGCACTCACAAGTGAGTCAGAGCTGCCTTCTTGCCAGATGCTGTCATCTCTTTTCAGTGTCTCTCCCCGCCGGTCGACTGGCATGGGGTGATTCCTCCAGTATGACACGGCTGTTGCTTAGAGACTGCGCCGCTGTGAGGTGTTTGGTCTCTCCACAGTCACCGGGGGATCGCGAGCAAATGAAGCAGGTCAGAGGGCCACGCTGCAAGACAGGAAGCACCAAAAGACACTATTATTACACAGTTAGAGACAAGTGGCTGCTCTCACAGACTTGACGAGCGACTGGCCCTTTGGGAGAAAAAGCAGTTTTCGCTGCAGGTGAGATGCGATAATGAACACAACTGTTTTTCATCTCCTCTCGCCCCCCCACAGTGGGTGTTCTTTATTTAAGACAGATAGGAGATGATTTATCTTTTATGATCAATTTCTAGGTTGAGTTAGTTACTGATGGCTACAAAACACTCTGATCCTCACACATTAAGTTCATTTCTAAGAAGATGAGATATCAGACTGGTGTGCCAGCGTTATATCCTTCATCCTCTCAAGCGACTTTCCCCTGACTTTTTCTTTTTTGTGTGCTCTTGGTTTAATGTTTTGCCTTTCAGTGGTTTAATAGCGCAGAGCTGTGTGAGTGTTGCAGGACAGAAAATGGGCCAGAGTCCTGTCTAATGTGGGTCACAGTGGTTTATTAAAAGCATGTCCATTTATTCAAGCCTTTCATAGGAAAATGGTTGATTGTGCCTTTGAAGTGCATCAGGCTTTACCAGATTTTTCCCC